ACATTCCCAAGAAACTGGAACCCAGTCAGACAGACACACAACCAACTGCTTCCTGTGTATGCCATGTATGTCATGTGTTATTCCTTTCTACCACCCCCCAGTGGAAGTGCTTGCCTACTCCTAGGACAGGTAAGTCCTAGGAAACTCTAATCCTCAATCTTTTGGGCACAAGTTTTATAAGGGCCAACCAAGTACGAGGTAAGAGAAAAATCTGATTAAGGGCCACAAAAAAAGATGGAAGTGGTAAAAGAGAAGAAAACATCTTAACTGGAATAAACGCTTCTATTCAAAACCCAAGGAGTGTCCTTTGAGGGATAAAAGGTACAAAAATAACAGCAAGACAAGAGGAATAAAACCCACATGAATCACTGTGGCATCCAGTTTCTATTCACAAAGAAAAAGCTCCAGTCCATCTTTTAATTTTTTTGAAAAATTCCTGACATTACAGAACTAAACTGAAATGTATTAATATTCCACTCTTACATTTCCATGACAAACAGAAAAATTCATGAGCCAAAAATAAAAATAAAAAAAAAAAACAAAAAAACAAAAACAAACAAAAAAAAAAACAAAAACCAGGGAGAAGCTTATAAAACTAAATATGGATCTCAGCATCAACAGCTGAACAGAGAAAGGAATTAAAACGCTTTAATTAAAAAAATCACGAGTGGATGATAAAGTGTGTAGAAACTGAAAATTTACAAACTATTTAAAACCTGGAATCGCTGACTGTTCAGAAACTACACAGATGGATCATGGGTGGTGGTGAACAGCAGAAAGGGATTATGGATGAATCTGCATTGTTCTAGCTGCTCCCCATGCCACCCGTCTCCGAGGAAAGCCTGTAACACAGAAACAAGAACTCAGTTAGTTTCCCCAGTGGCCAGCTGCACCTCATCTCTACCTGGTTCATGAAATGTGAAGAGTAAATCATCAGTACTGGAGTATCAAGGGAGACATTAAGGTTTCTTAAATTTACCAATACCATAATCCTTTAATCCTTGCAATGCAAGCACGTGGAGGTGTATCACCTCAGAAGTAAGGCAAACAGAGCCCTCCGTTACCAAATGTTCCTCCAACTATGTTTTTAGTTCCACAGTGGGTTAACCATGGAGAATACTTTCTGAAAACATGCTGCTCACTAAAGAGTGCTCACAATACACAGAAGCAATGTTTCTTTATTGCTGAGCTCACTTTGGCTCCTCCCAAACTGCTGGCAGAATACCAGTTTAGGAAAGAAACACTGATCTGAGAGAGCCTCAAGGGTTTAATGCTGAGACAACTCAAGGCCTTTACTTTAAAGCCCTGGATTTCTATCAGTGTGTAGGATATTATGAGGTACTACAGTTTTAAAGGTTAAGAGATGTTAAAAAGAGATACAAAAAGATTAACTATGGGTAAAGAATTATACCCATTTATTGTTTTTTGGGTTTTTTTTTTTTGGGAGGGGAGAGGGGGAGACAGAGTCTAGCTCTCTCACCCAGGCTGCAGTGCAGTGGCATGATCTCGGATCGCTGCAATTTCCGCCTCCCAGACTCAAGCAATTCCCCTGCCTTAACCTCCAGATTAGCTGGGATTACAGGTGCACACCACCATGCCTGGCTTTTTGTATTTTAGTAGAGACATGGTTTCACCATGTTGGTCAGGCTGGTCTCGAACTCCTGACCTCAGGTGATCCACTTGCCTCAGCCTCCCAAAATGCTGAGATTACAGGCATGAACCACTGCACCTGGCCTTAAGTTCTGAAAAAAGTTTTCAGGACTTAACAGTAGCAGACAAAATAATGTTTCGACTGTGTAGCTCACTCTACAAAGCTCCCAGATCTTGTCAAGCCTTAACCATCTGAACATACCAGACTACAATGCCTTTCTTTCTGTTTCAAAGAGGTCATCTGAGGTCCTGGAATCCAATTTAGGTCTTTCAGGGAAAGGTATTTAAGTATTGTGTATGCTTCACTGGTAGGTAGGTAGACAGGCACCAAGACTGCTCCCATTTTGAATAGAACCAAATGTGTAAGACTTCTTTTCAGTTCATGAAGTTATTTCATAAAAATTTTAGATTGATTGGCATAAATATTTGTGATATGTGGTCATGAGAACATGACTGGTAATTCACCATCTGTATCCCTTCCACACAATGCAAAGCCAAAAGCTGGGTAGAAAAGCAAGGGCCAGAACACTGAAGAGTCCTTCAACTACAAACTGTATTTAGTCAGAAATGGTTTCTCCACCTCAGCATTAAGGGAATATTTAGTTCTTAAAAAGGTTAGATCTAGGACCTAAAAATTAAGCTTATGAAAATTGGTGGTAGCACTCTGGCCCCACCAGAGTTCTAGAAGAAATGCCCTGAATGTATATCAAGCCCAAATGGGGATTTGCCGGGGTGGGGGAGGTGAGGGAAAAGGAAATACTATGAAATACTGAGTCAGGCACTCTAGAATAGAAAACCACATGGGGGAGCTCTAGGCTTTAAACAAATTTAAAACTGAGGGCCTTTAGAGGTAGTGATGGTAGCTAGCCCCTTAAACATCTGGAATCTTTCCCAGTAATCTTTCCTTGGGAATAGTCATTAGGTTAAGAGGCCTCCCAAATCAAGAACTAGATAAAATAAAACCAGGTCCCTCAGGGGGCAGATCGCATCAGCATGATTAAGTCCAAACTACAGAAGGAGCGACCTTACTAAGGGAGAGAGCTGGACCACATGATAAAGGAGCAACTAAATAAAACTCCTAACTGGACAGGTTTGCCCATCTAATCCTTTATGCAGACTTGGGCCATGTAACACTTCTTCACAAACCCAATCTGGGATGGAGGGGCCACAATAACATCAGAAAATGAGATCATATATTGGAATACTATGGCCAAGCGTGATGGCTCACGCCTATAATCCCACCACTTCAGGGGGCCGAGGTGGGTGGATCACCTGAGGGCAGGAGTTTGAGACCAGCCTGACCAACATGAAGAAACTCCATCTCTAAAAAAATTATATATATATATGAATACTAAGTTTTCTTTTTTAATGTCAACCAGTGGGGATGCTGGACAAGGGAAAATAACTCTACAGTGAATTCTCTAATGCCCTGGGAAGAGCGTTATACTTTCAGCACTGTGGCAATGTGTACTTTGGTTGAATGGAAGGCTATCAGAGGCTTTATGCTACTATTCTAAACCATTTCTACTGTTTTATGAGAGATCCATGCCCAAAGAAAATGAATAAGGTTTTAGGGAGGTTAGTATGATTGAGTAAAAGTAAAGTTTAAGTTGTTAGTCCTGGCTAGTCACTCATAATCTATGAATTTAAATTCTCTTTAGGGCCTCTATTTTTTAAATCTGCAAAATGAGGGGATCGTGTATCACAGATTAGTTGTTCCTTAAGGTTTCTTCCAAACGTAAGCATGTCACTTCCTACTTGTGATAGTGTTGGTGGGGAGGAGAAAGGGTACAGCAAGGAATAGAAAAAAGTGCAAAGAAACTTGGTTGACTATCAGAGTTGGTTTAGGATGAGTGGATGGCATCATGTCAAATTGTGGATAATGTCACAGGTTGGCGGCTGAGATATACTTAATGTCACAAAGAGGGATAATGCTAATTCAGAGGAATGCAGAGCAGACAGTAGCTGCCTAATTTTATTAGACTTATGCCACTTTGCCCCTCCTCTTCATTCTGGGTAAAAAAAATATGTTCTTTGAATGTATGACTTGGAAGAGATCCTCATGATAACCATTCACCAGAGGAAACCTGGGATGAACACCTTGTTAGCTGCTGCTGGCAAGGTAAGGCCATTTGAGAAGTCAGATAAACCTCCTCACTAATGAAGCTTGTTGCCAATTACAGAGGACCCTCAGGATCTAAACTGCCATAGGCTCATATCTCTTTGTGGGAATATTGACAAAGGACTATAAAATTAACCTGGGATTCCAAAAGCCCATGTCAGTTATACAGGCTTTCTGGTTGAAGAGCCACAAGTCACAAGCCCCCAACCCTTTACCCTTCACAGCACACAGTGAACTAGGGTTCTTACTGCGCCAACTTTATTACAGCTAGAAACACAAATATGGCCAAGAAGGCCTGCTGATAGCTTAATCATTAAATAATTCTTTAAAAAAAAAAAAAAAAAAAAAAAGGTTAACGGAGAAGCTTTTATTCATTAACACAGAGCCTAACACATTGTTATATTGCAAGGCAGAATATAACTACAAAGAAAAGGTAACAAACAAGAAAGAAGAGTAAACTGTGGCTCTAGATAAAGAATTCAAGTCAGACCCTGAAACAGGCACTCAGCTGAAATGGCCTAAACCTAAACAAGGGTTACCACTCCCCCCACCCCCACCCAGTTATCCCCCAAAGTAGCAAAAAGGAAAAGGTAACAAGCTCACAATAGTTTCATTCTCACCAATGTTAACAAAGGAAAACAAAATGAACCAAATAATACTGGAGGAGGTGCCTCAAGATATGCAATCAGTAGGGAGAGAATCTCTGTTTCTCGCCTTTCAGTTTGTTAGTTACACATGGCACGGCAGAGTTGGTGGTGGTGGTAGCTGAAGCCCCGGTACCCTTAGCAGCAGACACAACATTTAGAGCCAGGAGAGGGATGGGTTTCATGCCAAGCAGACTGGAGACACAAGGGGCGGTCGGAAGAGGGTTGGGGAGGCTGGAGGGTGCGTCGGAGGTCCCCGCTGTGGCGAGCGAGGGGGTGGTGGTGGAGGAGGAAGAAGAAGAAGGGGTGGAGGGTTGAGAGAGGTTGATGCTGAGGTGATCAGGGATCGTGACGGAGGCTGCCTGGGAGGAGGGTTTAGCGTTTTCTAAACTGTAACAGAGGAAAAAAGGAACAAAAAAAAGGGTGGGTGGAAGGGAAGACCACAAAAGGGAATAAGTACAGGACAAAAACTGCTTCAGTTATATCAGTAAGTGCCTCTGGTTGACAATTAGGAAATCCTGGTATCAACTTGTGACAAGCTCTCTTTTAGCCTGTGTCCCACCCTCTAAATATGTATACTTCCATTCCACAAAGCTACTTAAAAACTGGCATAGAAAAAGCTGACAGAGAAATCAAATCACAGAGCACGTACTTCCATATACCTGACACACTGACCCAACCCAGATGTTGAAGGAATGATTTCAGGTAGAAAATGAAAGATACTCATCAGTCACCCAACAAAGAAAAAATGTTTCCTCCAATCAAATGTCAATTTCCTATTCTAATGGAAAATCAATTAACCCGAAATTACTTATGGAGCTTTGAGTATTTATAAACACAATTTTAAAAAATCCTTCCAGCTGTAGTATTAAAGTCTGCTTACATTTCCAAAACAAACAAACCAATATTAGGGTGGAAGGAGACAAGAATCCAAAGTAGGTCACTGACTAATTTCAAATTTCAAAGAATGCAGTGTTTTCAAAGAAAAATGCTGAGAACAGAAGTGTAGATAAGAACTAGGAAAGCTTTTCTGGTGGGAGGTGGTATAAGAAATTCTTTGTTTTTGACTGATCATACTTCTAATGTGGACTTTTCAGAAGTGGAAAAGAGAAACTCAAGCATCACCTAAAAATTCATATTTAAAAAGTGAAAATGCTGCTGCTTCTACTCCTAAAATAACCTCCACAGAACAGTAAGGATATGTGTCTCCCAAATTCCTGTATGTGTCTACTAAATCAGAACTACTTATATTTGAGAAGTTTGCCTGGACAATTGAGCCCACAAACCTACGTCTTCAAGAGCAGAAAGGCTCCCCTTAAAACCTCATTTTGTTTACCTATGTCCAAGGACAGCTGCAATCCATAAAGGAGAGGACTACAAATCTCCACCAACTATATAAAAGGACTCAGACTGCCACCACAAAAAAATCTAGACAGGAGAAAATGCTCAGAAGCCAGTAAAATCCTTGCCTTAAAAAAATGGAGGGGGGAAAAAAAAAAAAAAAAAAACAACTTCTGACTTCTGCATTTAAACTGGACCAAGGTGAGAAAGAATAAGCTTTGTGCATGCATAGTCCTTGCTTCGGTGTTAGATGAAGCTCTGAAAAGTACTGACCCTAATGATCCTGAACTGCCATTCAATAAGAATGATCCTGAAAAGAGTGACTCTGGCTAGAGAATTCTATTTCCTTACAATGTAGCCACTGACCTATTGCAGGGGCTAGGCAAGCAGGTCACATTTAAATTTTATGAAGGGCAAGCCTATCAAAAGAACAAAACAAATTCCAGCTTTCAAAAACATGACTGTTGCCACTGAAAACTCCCCTCCAAAATCCTAGTCAGAATAAGAAAAATAATTCTTGTAATCCCAGCACTTTGGGAGGCACATCACTTGAGGTCTGGAATTGTGGAGACAAGCCCGACCAACAAGGTGAAACCCCGTTTATATTAAAAGCACCTCTGCAAACAACCTCTATGTAAAATTTTGGTACTACCATTTCATTCTGAACATTAAGGACCTAGTGTGCTTAGTGGATGGACAAGAAAACAAATCTAGGAATGGGAAAGCTTTTCTATACCAAGAGTAGCAGCACCTCAAGATATGGAGAGACCTAAGGCAAAAGTCAGACTGCTACTGGGGAAATGGTAAGCTCTTAGCTAGGCTAACCACAGCATACATACATGGTCAGTACAAGCATGACAATACAGACCTCATATTTATGAATTCCTTTCCCCATAGTAGTTTCAGGAACTCATGCAAAACTTTTATGACAAAGAGACCAGACACTTATAAGAAAGGTAAATGACAACTAGACAACACTCTCCATTAAAAGGGACCTAAGGGCCTCAGGGCTAACAATGCTTTAAAATGTTAATAAGCAATTAAAGGTCCAACTTAAACTCAAGAGTTGAGAAAGCAAGTACTATAAATGACTGTAGGATCCCATTTGACTGTGACCATTGTCCTAAAATTCTGAGGGTAGTAACATTAGCTAGCTGTGGGTAAGAGGAAAAAACCCTTCAGGAAGTCATTAAGGGATGAGACTGGGGGAGGGGTGAGATAAAAAACATACTTCACACTTCTCTAAAACATTCCATACCTGTGCTTCCCACATTCCCACAAGCTTTGAACAATAACACGTGCAATGAGAAAAATGGGTGTTTCCAGAATAAATGATAATTGCTGCCTCCAAGAAACTGCCTTGCTGTCCTATTACTCCACTGTCATTCAATTAAGGGTGCTCTGGACCCCAAATCAAATCAAAGAAAGAGTAGTCTATATGCTATGTAGAACAAGAAAGACCCACATTTGATTCTGTCAGTGAGTGCTCTAGCCAGAAGATTCTCCTATTATTAAAGACATGGGCCATTCTTTCCACTTCCCAAACCATCAAGTTAAATTCGGTCAATCTCTGTTCCTCCCTCCCCGACCCCTTGCAAACTTATTGCAATTTGTTTACTTTTTCTGCTACACTCAAAGAAAGTAGGGCTAGCAAACAAATTTTGGCCATCTCTACCCATTCCCCATGTAATCTTATATTTAATAATGTACTGCAGCTTTCCCCAACACATGTTACTGTGTTGGTATGAATAAGACAAAAGGTAGGGCAGTCTTACCTGACATTGATTAGATATTGAGCCAGGCTAATGCTGGCAGCAGATCCAGTGATGGTAACCTGCCTATCAGTAGATCCTTCCACTGGGTTCGCAATTTTGATCTGCGCCCCAGACATCTGACGGATCTCATTGATTTTGGCGCCCTGACGCCCGATTATGCAGCCAATCAACTTAAGGGAGAAAAAAATCAAGGCACAGTGAATTAGAGTTGCACGGCTAAGTCCAAGAATCCCACCCCCTCCTCTAGCTCCTACAACTTGGGTCACAGAAAACGGCAATGGAAACTACTTTTTTTTAACATCCTTTTTTTAAAGACAGTCTCACCCACCCTGTGGCCAGGATGGAGTGCAGTGGCGCGATATCAGCTCACCCACAACCTCCACCTCCCGGGTTCAAGCCATTCTCCTGTCTCAGCCTCCTGAGTAGCTGGGACTATAGGCGCGCACCACCACACCCGGCTAATTTCTTTTTATATTTTTAGTAAAGATGGAGTTTCACCATGATAGCCAGGATGGTTTTGATCCCTTGACCTAGTGATCTGCCCGCCTCAGCCTCCCAAAGTGCTGGGATTACGGGCGTGAGCCACCATTCCTGGCCCTTTAAAAAAAAAAAAAAAAAATTGAAACAGGGTCTTACTGTTTCTCAGGCTAGTCTCGAACCCCTTAGCTGAAGCCATCCTCACACCTCAGCTTCTGTCCCTCTGTGCTCCATGTACCTGGGATTATAGGTGCATACCACCAAGCCCAACTTCATCCTACACCCTTTACCCATATACTTTTGATCAAAAAACTCAATTAACTCTTGACCCATTCTTGAGTCTAACCACCCATGATGAGAGCCAGTTCTGAAACAACTCACTCTTAGGTCCAAGTATCAGCTCTTCATTATTTCTGTCCTCAGAGTATTAATTCCAAAGACAAAATAAACCAGAGCCAATCCAAGAATAAACTTAGCTAAAAATAAAGGTAGCAATACATTCAGTCATCCTGCCTTGATTACCACCTAACTATACTCACAAGAATTCTGGCCAATTCCTAAGGTGTGTTTGCCTTGGTAAAAGGTAAAAACAAACAACAAAAGAAAACTGGTCTACATTTGCACTGTCCAATAGTAAACAGTAATATGTAGTTACTGAACACCTGAACTGTGGCAAGGGAGACTGAGAAACTACAGTCATTTTATTATTCTCAAGTTAAATACCCACTTGTGGTTACTGGTTATCATATAACCTTGGACAGCACAGATCTAATGTTCATGAATCACTACACTCTGGTGGGGGGGGGCAGTGGCTCAGGCCTGTAGGCTGAGGTGCGCCAATCATTTGCGCTCAGAGGTTTGAGACCAGCCTCGGCAACAGGGTGAAATCCCGTCTTTACAAAAAAAAAAAAAATACAAAAATAATTAAGCCTGGCTTAGTGGTGGCACCTGTGGTCCCAGCTACTCAGGAGGCTGAGATGGGAGGATCTCTTAAGCCTGAAGTTCAAGGTGGGTCACTCCTATAATCCCAGCACTTCGGGAGGCCAAGGCTGGTGGTTCACCTGAGGTCAGGAGTTCAAGACCAGCCTGACAAACATAGAGAAACCCTGTCTCCACTAAAAATACAAAATGAGCCGGGCATGGTAGCACATGCCCATAATCCCAGCTACTCGGGAGACTAAGGCATGAGAATCACTTGAACCCGGGAGGCGGAGGTTGGAGTGAGCCAAGGTCACGCCACTGCACTCCGGCCTGGGCCACAAGACTAAAACTCCGTCTCAAAAATAAATAAATAAATAAATAAATTAAAAATAGCAGGACATGCTAAAAACATGTCTGTTTCTTTAAAACCAATTTTCTTATTTTCATCCCATGCACCCTAACTACACTTACATCGTTTGGAATGGTGAGTTCATGAGAAGTAGTCTGAGCAGATGCATCCAAACCTGCTAAAAGACAGAAGAGAGCAAGGAAATTCAATGTACAGCATTCAAAACCCCACTAACTTGCACATTAAACTAACAGAAGGAAATAAACTGGAAACCCAGCACTGGCTGTTAGGATTCATCACTAACTTGGAAGCCCCCAAAGAGGAAAGAGTGGGGGAGAAGGGTGTAGAAATAATGCTCGAAAGGTTCTTCTGTACACTCAGAAGAGCTGATTTCATGCCATTTCCTGCAAAGCCCAGACTATTAGGGATAGGGTATGGAAGCAAGGGCAAGGGAGGGTGGTATCCTCAAAGAGGATCAAAATCTAAACAAGTCCTTCTGTACTTCTACCCCTTTCCTACTGTGTTCCATATTGTATCTCACCTGATGCTCACTAGCACCAGTGCCAATATTATGCCTGTTAATGGGTACCATGGACTTTTGGCACACATGCAGAGTTGCTTTAAATATACCTTTATCAGATTAACGCCCTCCACCCACTATCCTCCTAACTTAGACTGGAAGGTCAGATAGAATGAAATGGCAGTCAGGTGAGGGGACTTCATTTCTCCAGATGTACTCCCTATCTTTTGGCTCAATAATTTTGTTCTGGCTTTCGTTTTACAAAGAAAAAGAAAAAAAAAAAAACCCATCAGCAAATACCCATACCCATCTTTAACAGCACCTGGACTGAACCAGGTCAGCTGGCTAACACTCAAGCTTAGTCCTGATCTCAGCTATGGCTGCTGGTCTCAACATTTTTAGAAGGGGGTTGGCCAGATCCATCAAGGGACCCTTGGGGGCACCAGGCCCACCCCTTTGCTCTCTCAGCTCCTCTCTGCCATGTGCATGTTGCTGGTATGGTTCATGGGCAGTGAAACAAGACTCCCACCAGTTTATTAATATAACAGTAGAATACTACAGATTTTTTTTTTTTAATCATTACCCCAATAGCCTTTCACCTCTGGAGAGCTGGATTCAATGCCTGTTAAGATACAAGTGAAAATGAGTTTGGTGGTCTCATCCTAACCCTATCGGACAAGTTATTCCTTATACAGAAAAGCCCCAAAAACAGAACAAAACAAAAACAAAAACAAAAAAACACTACACAATTTGGCACAAATGGATGGTCTCTACCCAAGCCTGTGAATTGCTGGTGGAGAGAAAGGGGGTGCTGATCAGATCAAGGGGGCAACAGTCAGGATGGGCTCAAAGAAATATCAGCCTACCCTTTACCTGACAAGCATCCCCAAACCTCACCCCCAAACCTTCCAGGGCTTTTATTTTTTCTTTTAGAATAACTGACCCCAAATGAAAACCACGTTAACAAACACATTACCTCCTTGGGCTTAGCCATAGTAGACAGGCAAGTTTAAACCAGCAGGATGCTGGATAACGAAGTTTGTTTTAAACAGATGTCAAGCTGAGACCTTGGAACTGGCCTCTCTCTTGCACTACACCTTACAGAAATAAACACTGAGGTATCCATACCACTGAATCCGGTGTTGCCATGCGTCATGGGAAAATGAGACTGTTGCATTGCCAACTGGTGCAGCTTGGTCAACTGCAAGGAGGAAACAGGAGGTTGGCATTAGAAGATTTAACAGAGCCAGGGCTCAAACACATTCAAATGAGAAAATGCAGGTTCTGATCCCCAAAATTGACTCTACTACTCAAACTACAACAGAGGGTAGGGATGGGGTTTACATCACAATCCTGAGGATTGGCAGAATATGAAGGGTAAGGGTTAGAAATAGAAAGGGTGTCTCTAAGAGAATGAGCGCATTTTGGGTGTGTGAATAGAAAAGCAACAGCACTTGCCCCACGACCGTCCCCTTGTGGGCTACTTAATGAAGGTAGTTTGCAGCCATTGCAACAGTTGCCACAGGGACAAGCACAGACAGGCTAGGTAAACAAACTGTGCAGTGGTGCCAGGGAAAACACACCATGCAGGGTTTCATCAGTACTGGGGAGAGGGAAGGAGATGAGGGGGGCAGGGAGACTGGAAGGAGGAGAGAAGTTAAGAAACCATACTGGGTTTAGTCCCATCACTGCCACCACTGACTACTACAGCTATTTTTATTCATCTATATAAACTGTCCTATAATAAAATAATCCTTCTTTACGTCTACTTTCCTCTCTCCTGGGGCCTACCACTAACTAAGACCCAAACTTGACTTCCCAAGTCTAATACTCAGTACCTGAAAAGGTTAGTAAAGATAAAAGAAAAGTGCAGAAAGAAATGCCCTTGAAGTCTAAATACCAGCACTTTTAAATAGGAGGCTTTAGTGGCAAGAAAGGTTTAATTCTGAAATGTTCAGGTTCCTAACCCTCTCTGTGTAAATAAGCCCTTTCTCCATCCCTCCAAATACTTTGAAAATTGTCACCTCAGAGTGAGGAGTACCCAAGGGCAAACCCAACCTCCCAATACCCCCATGGAAAGAAGAGCATGCAAGGAAGCACAGTCCGAATGTCAATTTAAACTGTGCCCTGAGATAACAAATCACAGTATACCATGGAACATTTCTCTTTTAGACAGGGTAATCTGAAACACAGGGGAAAGGAGAAGCTAATATGTTGAATTAAATTTCAGGGGTTAAATGTCAAAAGGCAAACAAGGCATTACCCTGATTAAAGGGCTGAAATATGGGATTGACCTTGTGAAGAAAACAAAGACCCAACTCACTTCTGGCTACTTGGGAGAAAGGAGTGAGACGATTTTGGATGGGAGAGGGAGCTTTTCAAAACAAGAAGTGAAAACAAAACTTACATCTGGCTGTGGAATGGCATACTGTCCTTGAATGGTATAGGCCTACAAAAGGAGGAAAACAGTTCCTATTAAAAACCAATCACGGACAGCCACCCAGTGGGGGGAAAAAGACGTATCAACTAGCCAGGAAGCCAGAGTTGAATTACAGAATGGGGGAGGCCAGAGACTGAGGCAGTAGATGGAATCTCACTCACAAATACGGTCAGACCCAAATTGGCCTTCTTTGAACCCTAAATATAACTTTATTCCGGGGATCCTATAAAGGTAGTCAAGTTCCCTGCAATTAAAGGCAAAATATATGTAACTGTTTCTTAATGAAAATGTGGGAAGTGAGATTAGCAATGCCTCGATTGACCAAGCCCCACTCTTCCTCCCTGTATATAAGATAGCATAGGAGGAATAATGGTCTCTTCCCTCGCCACCCCAACCCTTCTACCAATTGTGGTGATGTGGGAGATCTATATCTGCACAAACCTACATGGCATGTTTTGAAACACTTCTTTTTTTCCCCAACTTATTTTTCTATCTGCCTAACGACCTTAAAAACACTGGATGCTAGCTGAGTCCCTAACAACTAGGGAGTTGATCACAGGTACACAAAAACCACTGTGTTCTAATTCCTGTCTTCTCCCACCTCCCCTCCACAAAAGGCACTTGCAGCTCCCACTATGCCCTCCTCCCCCCACAACAGAACCTCCCAAAAAGGGAGCTGGGTCTTCAGGGCAATGGGGTGGGGAACAAGGAGGAAAGGAAAAGGGAACAAGGAAGGAAGGGAAGGAAGGAGTGGCTGGTTAACAGGATGTGAAGTTTCTCACATCACAGTGGCCAGTACCCCCAAAAGTATACCCAGGTGGGGGTGGAAGGAAGGTGAAAATGGGGTAGGAGTGGGAGAAGGGAAGAGGGGTTGAACAAAAAAAATTAAAAAAAAAAAAAAATTAAAAAAAAAAAAAAAAAAGTTGGTGTTACCATCTGGTGGGCTACTCGGCCTGGGTGAAATGAGGTTGGGGGGGTCAGTCCAGGTCCCCGTGGACAGGTGGTGTCCACAGCACCAAAAATCACCAGCGCCACTGGCCCCCCGCGTGTTGGCAGTCTCGGCTGAGGCGGAAGGATTGAGTGAGCCTTGGAGACTGAACATCCCCTCTCACCTCTAGAGGTGGTCCCTCCAGGTCAGGGTTGAGGCACATGGACGGGGTGGTGTGGGGAAAGCTCGCACTGTCGCTGCCTGTGCTGTACCTGTCCTGTGGATAAATAGAGGATTTCAGTCTCCAGGGCTGTCAATCCGGCACCTTGTCACCAGCATGAAATTCACACAAAAAAAAGTTTATTTTTTTTTCCTTTAAAAAGGAGCTCAAACACAATTTGAAACGAGCTGTAATCAGTGAATTTAAAAAAAAAAGTTACCTAGTGGCAGATTTCACACTGCACAATTGGGCTATTTTCAGTAAGAATGAAAGGGTGGGGCAACAGAGCTGATGCCAGCTCCTAGTCAGTGTGGGATTAAGTTGAACCCCTACAGAGCCCACTTTGCCACAAAGGAACAAAAGACACAGGTCCATCTGTGGACATTGTATATTTAAAAAGGCCTGTGGGAACGATCCATGACAGGGCCACTCATGGAAGAAACTGCAAGTTTTTAGACGGTGGTCAACTAAATAAAGGTGAGGGAGGGAGGAAGGTAGGGAAGCAAAGAGGTATGAAGGGGGAGGTGTGATGGGGATGGGAAAAAAAGGAAATGAAGGAAGAATTTTAAGCAGAGAGGACTGCTGCCACCCAGTATGGGACTCTATATTCCAAAGGTGAGTGGGAGAATCCAGAAGAGCAGGAACCTGGAGTTCCTGGGAAAGAAAAATTCCAAAGGCTAACCCCTCCTGGCTACACTGACGCTGGGCCTTTGCTTATCCTGCCCAATTCTGACTGTCTAGGACTGAGAGCCCTTTGGCCAAACCAGTTTGTACAAGGCTAGTGCTAAAAGCAAGGTACTAACTCAAGGTAATACTGTGACATAACTGACCAACTTTCCTGTAAAAGTAGCTATGATAACTACAGGACCAACTAAATCCCTAAAAACTTGTTCATTTTTATGACAATTCAACAGAATGTGAATGAGATGGACTCCCAAGTTTATGCTTGCCCTCTAAATGGCTCCCAAATCAAAATAAGATGAAACTAGTTAACTAAATATGCTTATAACAGACCAGCCCCAAGTGGGAAAAGGTATTTTGAGCAATGCACTTGTTTAGGTAGCTACCAAAATCAGACACTATTTTAACCTGAATCCCAATACAGTCGTCCCTAGGTGTTCCTAGGTTATCAGTGGGGGATTAGTTCTAGGATCCCCCCACAGAAATAAATATCCATGAATATGCAAGTCTTTTTTTTTTTTTTTTGGAGACAGAGTTTCACTCTTGTTGCCCAGGTTGGAGTACAATGGCGTGATCTCAGCTCACTGCAGCCTCCGCCTCCCAGGTTTAAGCAATTCTTCTGCCTCTGTCAGCCGAGCAGCTGGAATTATAGGTATGTATCATGCCCAGCTAATTTTTTTGGACGGAGTTTCGCTCTTGTTACCCAGGCTGGAGTGCAATGGCGCGATCTCGGCTCACCGCAACCTCCGCCTCCTGGGTTCAGGCAATTCTCCTGCCTCAGCCTCCTGAGTAGCTGGGATTACAGGCACGCGCCACCATGCCCAGCTAATTTTTTGTATTTTTAGTAGAGACGGGGTTTCACCATGTTGACCAGGATGGTCTCGATCTCTTGACCTCGTGATCCACCCGCCTCGGCCTCCCAAAGTGCTGGGATTACAGGCTTGAGCCACCGCGCCCGGCCCTAATTTTTGTATTTTTAGTAGAGACGGGGTTTCACCATGTTGCCTAGGCTGGTCTTGAACTCCCGACCTCAGATGATCCGCCTGCCTTGGCCTCCCAAAGTACTGGGATTACAGGCATGAGTGACCACACCCAGCCAATACTCAAGTCTTTTATATAAAATGGTGTAGTACTTGCATATAACCTAAGCATATCTTCCCATATACTTTAATCATCTCTCTATTACTAATAATACCTAATACAATATAAATACTAAATACTTTTTATACTATGTTAATGACAAAACAAAGCCTATACATGTTCAGTACAGATGCAACCACCCATTTTTTCCCTGAATATTTTTGATCTGACATAAGGTTGAAGGTGGAACCCACAAACACAAAGGGCCAACTGTATTTTAAAAACTGACCTACCTACTCCTCAAATACAATCAGAGCATAGGACTACCATGGTCCTGATCAATGCTTCGGTCATAATAATCTAACTTCAGAATAGTTCATGTGCCAAAGATCAAGAGTTTAGGTTGGTGAGGAAGGAGCAGGGAGAGGCCAAGGGGGTGCTTTGGTGTTCTTACTCTAACACCAAAGGTCACAGCACCACAGCCCAACATGCTCACCCCCCTTCTATTCTTACATACTGAACTCTTACCCCAGCTGATTTCAGTTATGCCATGTGGGTTCAAACCAGTGTTTATGAGTTTAAGAGCCTAGGGGACAACACACTGGAGTTTGGGAGTGAAGGGGTAGGAGTAGGGGAGGTGAGGTGGAGGGAAGGGGAAGTTTGTAGGACACTCAAATTCAGGACCCCCAAATTTTGAGACCACCATCCAGAATCTCCTTCAGAGGTCCAACTCTTTGCTACCTTTCATTTAGACCTCTAAATATCACCCCACACATATAAAACATGGATGGGGTGGGGATAGGGAGAGACAGTAGTGACAGTGAGGCAATTCTAACCCAACCCGCCTTAAGTAACCAAGTAAGTTACCTCTTCCGAGTGCCTACAAAACTTCCATTGCCTGCTAAGAATTAAGGCATTCACAGCTTTCTCCAGTACAAAAAATAAAACTAAAAGCAGGTCAAACTATGGCCAGAGTATAGGTTTCAGCAAGCATGCAGAGTGGTTTGGTGTGATGCTGGCAAAGTTGACATTTCAAACATAATCTCTGTTCACTCCAGCCCACCAATAAGAATTTTCTTACCTGACCACCTGCAAAGATGACCGGAGAGCTGGACGGCTTGGGCCGGTACGGGATGGTCACGCCCTTCGGGGGGGACTGGGAGAGAGTCAGAGGGGAAAAAAACAAAAAGAGATAAGGTTTCAAAGCTGCTTCAGCTGTGTGGCTTTAGCTCACACAGGTCAGTTAAATTAAAAACTATTTCCATCCCCTTACCTACACCAAATTGTCTCTGGCTAGACCTAATCTCAAATTATGTACTAAAAGTTATTTGCTTTTAATGCAGTAACTCCAAGTACTACAATTCAAACTAATTCTCATCAAGGAAGATATGCTTGTAATAATCTTTGGCACTATTTCCAAAGTTTTAAGTAAATTTAATGAACATGAAAAACTGTGTAAACATATACATTTTAGTTGGTAGTTTTTAGTTTACATTTTTTGGCCTGAATAGAAAATACAGTCAAAACTGGAAATAAAGTAGTACTCAAATGTTTTGTCTAGAATAACATAGACACTATCTATAAATAGTTCAAAGTTCCAATCAAGGTTTTGCTAATCTCTACTTGAAAATTCCAGTTTCTAGCTGGGGGCGGTGGCTCATGCCAGGAATCCCAGTACTTTGGAAGGCCGAGGCAGGTGGATGGCTTGAGCTCAGGAGTTCAAGACCAGCCTGGGCAACATGGCAAAATCCTGTCTCTACAAAAAGTAACAAAAATAAGCCAGGTGTGGTGGCACGTGCCTGTAGACCAAGCTACTGAGGAGACAGGTGAAAGGATCACTTAAGCCTGGTAGGCAGAGGTTGCACTGAACCAACATCGCATCACTGCACTCCAGCCTGGGTGACAGAGCGACCCGTCTCACACACACACACACACATACAAAAAACAAAGGAAAAATTCCAGTTTCATTTCTCACCAATGAAACCAACTCCATATTACAAATCTGAAAAGGCTTAATTTTCCTGAATTTTGCTATTCTTTTAATAGAATAATAATACATAATCAGGACCTCATAAGTCATTCGGAAACATCATCATATTTTTCTATTCTATATAACATTTTGAATACCCTGCTACAAAGTGACAAGTTGTTAAAGAGCATGTCAAATTTCCATGTAACCCAAATATGGTAATTCAAAAAAAAATAATTTAACTCAGCTACTAAGGAACCCATATACATTTTGGCCTCTTCAGTCCATGTAGTGCATCTTCCCCTCCCACTCTGCTACAACTGCTGTGAACCAAAAGATCACTGCTGCTTAGCAGTTTCTATTTTTGCTCACAGACCATAAGAAAAGTCAAAGCTAGGGGAAGGAAAATATGAACTCAGGGAACCTTTTACCCCCACCCCCACTGGAAGCCTTAACAGCTTCACTTAATTCTAGTCTTACTAAATATAGAACACAGTCCTTCTGTCCCCAGAATCGCCCTCCCCCCATTCTCAGCATGAGCCTGAGGGCTTACCTCCAACATGACCACGCAGATCTGTTTGACACACTCAATGATGGATTGCGGAATGCCAGCAATAGTGATGGCCCGCTCAGTTGAGTTGGGTAACATATCCCCTGCCACCTGGACCTGAGCCCCTGTACTCTTTGGAGTAAAAAGAAATTCAGAATCAGAGAAAAACAGCTCATGCTCTTCCAATTCCTCCCAGCAGCAATTTCAGAGTCTAAAACTCTAGCGGATATTTATCCCATTTCCCATCTTCCCTTTTTGTTTTTTGTCCTACTCCTCCCTTCTTCCAGATAGAACTGTTTAATGAATTGGAGTTAAAAATAAATTAGCCACTGAAAGACAAGAATAAGCCTGAATAAAAGCCTAAATTTAACCTACTCTCAAGCAAAAGGTCCTTCTAGACAGCTTCCTCTCAACTAATGATAGTTCTCTGGGCAAAGCAAAAGCGCCACAAATATCACCCACCTTTCATTATCTTACTGAATAAATATCTTCTACATCAAGTCCATTCTATGTGCCAGGTACCATGCCAAGTGCTCAGAATACAGCAATTAACAAAATTAAGATCTCTGTTGTCATGCCATGTACAACAGGCTCCCAAAAACTCAAATGAGAAGCTATGGACTTTCATTCCAACACCAAATTCAATAACCTCTAGACACAATTAAGATCTTCCCTAATTGTAACTTCCATAGTTAAACAGGAAGTAGGAGCCAGGCACGGTGGCTCACACCTGTAATTTGAGCACTCTGGGAGACCAGGACAGTCTAATCTCTGGAGCTCAGCCTGGGCAAAACAGTGAGACCCCTGTCTCTACAACAAAAATACAAAAATCAGCTGGGCATCGTGAGTGCGCCTATGGTCCCAGCTACTCAGGAGGCTTGAGGTGGAAGGATCATCTGAGCCCAGGAAGTCAAGGCTGCAGTAAGCCATGATCATGATTATGCCCTGCACTTCAGCCTGTGAGAGTGAGATCCTGTCTCAAAAAAAACGGGGCGGGGGGGGGGCGCTCACGCCTCTAATCCCAGCACTCTGGGAGGCCAAGGCAGGTGGATCACCTGAGGTCGAAGTTTGAGACCTGCCTGACCAACACAGAAAAACCCCATTTCTGTAAAAATTACAAAAACTAGTCATGTGTAGCGGTGTAAGCCTATAATCCCAGCTTCTCTGGAGGCTGAGATGAGAGGATCGCCTGAGCCTGGGAAGGCTGACGTTTTGCTACAATGAGCCAAGATTGAGCCACTGCACTATAGCCTGGGGTGACAGGAGAGAAAAAAAAAAGGAAACTGTTGCTACTGTATCTGTTATCTTGAGACATGAAAATGTTGCCAAAAAAAATAATGGACACTTGTTATATGTAATACTTGAAAATTATGATTAACTTTCTCATGCTGATTAAAATCTATGAATTATGCAAAATAATCCTATTGCATGATAGTTTTATTTTCAATACAATCACATTGTAATCCTCTGGAACTGTAATTTTAATAAAAATCTTCATTTCATTGCTAACTTTTCCTAGCCATACAAAGAGCCAATTTGGAACAAATAGTTATCATTTCTAAAAGGAGCATGAGTCACTAACCTCTCGTATTTCCTTGATCTTGCAACCACCTTTTCCAATGAGAGAGCCACACTGACTAGCAGGAACCACCAGCCTCAGGGTGACCGGGGGTCTACTGGCAGCTGTACTATTGGTCATAGAGCTGCTTATGTCCTACAGAAAGAAAGAACACCAGAAGGATAAGCAGGTCCTTGGAAATGAGTAGCTGCCATTCAAGAACCACTTAGGACATGTGAAGTCATAACCCACCACAGACAATGGTTCAAATTATTTTTGATGTAAAGATAAAAACTTTACATCAAAAATGTAAAGTTTATCTGTAACTATTTTTGATAAACTCTCAAACCATTTTTGATGTAAAGATAAAAACTCTTGAAAAACTCCTCAGAATTAGCCATAAATATATTTTCCTTTACCCCGGGGGAATGTACTTGGTAGGGAGAAAAGTGATAATCTGTTTTGCAATTACACCTAGCCAGGCAATGAGCAACAAAACTTGACATCAAAATTAAATCAAATACAGCTAGGCACAGTAGCTCACACTTGTAATCCCAGCACTTTGGGTAGCCGAAGCAGGTGGATCATTTCAGGTCAAGGAGTTTGAGACCAACCTGGCCAATATACTGAGACCCCATCTCTACTAAAAACACAAAAATCAGCTGAGTGTGGTAGCTCATGACTATAATCCCAGCTACTCGGGAGGATGCCACGGGAGAATTGCTTGAACTTGGGAGGCACAGGTTGCACTGAGCCGAGACTGCACCACTGCACTCCAGCCTGGGTGACAGCAAGACTCCATCCCCCCGCCACCAAAAAAAAAAAAAAAAAAAAAAGCCATAGATTTGAAATGAAAAAACTGTATTAGTTCAAAGCCTAAAGTATTTCCCATAAATATATATTGTATCCAGAAAGTCACGGTTTTAACCTAGTTAAATTTAGCCTTGTAAAAATTAAGTGGTTTACATATCACTTAATAACTAGAGACCTGGAAACCAACTGCTTAAGCAGTTAAGACCCCTAAAGTCAAGGACAAGTTTATTACTTGGTTAAGGAATAAACAATTCATACTCTAGCTTTCTAGATTTGTCAAAAATTTAAAAAAAAAAATTCAATAAAGACCAGGCACAGTGCCTCATGCCTATAATCCCAGCACTTTGGGAGGCTGAGACAGGAGGATTGCTTAAGCCCAGGAGTTCAAGACCAGACTGGGTAACATAGGAAGGCTTAGTCTCCACAAAACCTGCAAAAATTAGCCAGACGTGGTGGTTCGTGCCTGTAGTCCCAGCTTCTGGGGAAGCGTAAGTGGGATGACTGCTTGAGCCCAGGCAATTAAGGTTGAAGTGAGCCATGACAACACAACTATACTCCAGCCTAGCTAACAGAGCAAGACCTTGGCTCAAAAAATAATTTAAAAAATAGTGGCCCACATCTGTAATCCCAACAGTTTGGAAGACAAGAGGAACACGTGAGGGCAGGAGTTTGAGACCAACCCAGGAAACGTAACAAGCTCCCATATCAACAACAACAACAAAAAGATTTCTAAAAAATTACCATGCACCTGTAGCCCCAGCTATTCAGGAAGCTAAGGCAAAAGATCACTTGAGCCTGGGAGGATGCAGTGAGCTACGAGTATACCACTGCACTCTAGCCTGGGTGACAGAGCACAACTCTGCCTCAAACAACAACGACAACAACAAAAAACTATTGAAGTATAAAAAAGAACAGAACTAGTTCAAGTTCATTCTTGTTAAAGAAAAAAACTAAAACGTGTGTTTCCTAAATGTTTTTTAAGCCATGAGTTCTGGACTTAATAGAGTCCTGGAGGTCAAAAGATAACATTTCTAAACTTGGCAAGGATAAGATTTCAGGCACCATTAAGTACCAACCACTAAAGCAGCAGCACTCCTCTGCCTGTGGTATCAATTGCACAATTAGCTGCATTACTGCAGAAGGGGGAAAGGGGGAGACTGAACACAAGACCTAGGACAATAGGTTAGCCTCTGAAGGTTGGTGGGGGAAAAACAACTTCCTCTTGAAACGACCTCTGCTAAGTATTATCCAAGTCTCTCCCAACGAGTATAATTTTGACACAATGTAAGCAGATTGACTTTTTAACCTAAGACCATCAGAATTGAAAGATTGTGTTTACAGTGTTAGTCAGGTAAACCATATTAGTTTGGTATACTCAAGCCTTTCACCAAAGCATTGGCATACCTTCAACAGATGATTTTCACGCAAATTATTTACACTAAGTCCATGGCAAAATTTGAACAGTTTTGACGATTCAATTAACTTTTTTTTTTTTTTTTTTTTTTGAGACAGAGTCTCGCTCTGTCACCAGGCTGGAGTGCAGTGGCGTGATCTCAGCTCCCTGCAACCTCCACCTCCCGGGTTCAAGCAATTCTCCTGCCTCAGCCTCCCAAGTAGCTGGGACTACAGACGTACACCACCACGCCCAGCTAATTTTTCTATTTTTTTTTTTTTTAGTAGAGACAGGGTTTCACTATGTTGACCAGATGGTTTCGATCTCTTGGCCTCATGATCCGCCTGCCTCGGCGGCCCAAAGTGCTTGGATTACAGGCATGAGCCACTGTGCCCAGCCTCAAGTGACTTCTTTAAAGTATAAATGGTCCAATTTTGTGGGAGGCTGCAGGAAGCTAAGGACCCATTAACAGAGTATTCTGGTCCAGTTTGTCCCTGAATTTAAAAAGCTTAGAAAACCAACAAGCTCTCTGGAAGCACTTAAAAATGAAGGATGATGGAATGGGAGAAAACAAACCTCTTCCAGTTTGTCAATGATCATAGCAAAGGCTTTGAAGATGGCATTAGTGGGTCCAGCCAAAGTGATAATTCTCTCAGGACAATTCCCTTCTGAGATGTTGATACGTGCACCACTCTAGATAGGAAACAAGAGCCAAAAGATGTTAAACAGACAAAGAAGATCTGAGTATGTACAGGATGTATAGCACCCTGTAAGAAGGACAAGGAGCTGCCAATGTACACAATCCTGATGCAAGGCAAAGTCAGCATCATTTCAAACACTCCTCCATGTCTATCCTCAAATATAGCCTACAGGAGCTGCCGTAAGTCTTGAATGAATTCTATGACTTGTCAAAACCACACTTCCCAAATAAAAAACAAACAAAAAAACTGCACTTTCCAGATTATCATTACAAATAACCAAGCAGAAAAAAATACAGGTTTCCCCTACTGAGAACTTTTTTTTTCTTTTTTTTAAATAAAGACAGGGTTTCACCATGTTGGTCAGGCTAGTCTTGAACTCCCAACCTCAAGTGATCCGCCTGCCTTGGCCTCCAAAGTGCTTGGATTACAGGCATGAGCCACCATGCCCGGCCAAGAGCTTCTTCCCTCTAACTTCTGAAAAAGAATTTTCACTTGTTTTAAAGGTTTTTCACTTCCCAAAGTTAACAATCTCAAGTCTTTCATAACTTACCTCTTCGCGCATCTTCTTAACTGATTCTCCTTTCTGTAAAAGGAAAAGTCAAGCATGAGCTCCAACTGCTATTTCAATCCAGAATGACTAAATGGTAATTAGAGTTGAAGTGAAATTGTCTTACCTTTCCGATGATACTGCCAACTTCCTGCAATGGAGAAAACTAATTATCAGTTAAGAGGAAACTCACAAGTTTTCCTTTTTCAAAATATATTTTATTTTTCCTTTTTCTCCGCATTCTAATGAAGTATTCATTATGAAAAGGAATTTTAACTATCCAGCCAACCAACCATCTATGCTAATTATTACCCCAAAAGAATGAGTTTTGAAGATTTATTGGGGGGAGGGGACTTGCTATAAGCAATCTCCATGAGAAAATTCTTACCTTCCAGATTGAGACAGTTTTTGGCTCCAGCCTCTAATTAAGCCTTTCCTGCTCAGTGGAGCTTCCTAGTAAAGTCTGTCCATTTTCCCACTACACTCCATTAGGGAAATATGCTAAAGCCAGATGCCCCACAGTGCTAATCTGATGAGCTCCAAGATGCATGTCTGCTCTTCCTGGCCCCTCCCCTAGCAGTTACTATGACCCAATTTCCCAAGCTGGAGCATACCTTTCCATGCATAAGTAGCCGGATGGTGAGAGTGACATTTAATCCACCTTCAATCACACCGGTGTCCATGTCGAGCAGTGTTCTGGGGAGCTGGACTCTGGGGAGTGGTCAAGTCTTTGGTCACTGGTGGGGGGTAAAAGCCAAAAACTAAAATGCAAACATGACCAAAATTAGAGGAGGAAAACAAAAGGGTTATTATTTCCCAAGTTATCTTCACCTTATCAATATTTTCTACTTTACACTTTTCCTTAAATGTCAGTATGTCAGACTTATAAACACACCAAGCACAACTGCATGACAACATTTACAGCTCAAGTTCTGTTACAGAGTGTAGAAGGCAACTCTCCAGTTCCTCTCATTGACAGGGTTTCCGCTGACTCTGGGGACGAGGAAGGTTCCTTCAATTGGCAATGGTTCTAAGGGAACTGCTGAACGTGCACCACTTGTCCTTCAGCAAAAAAAGCTTCAAAGAATTCAGAAACACCTGGAAATCATGAGAGCAAACCTCTAACTACAGTGAGGGCAAATAACCTTTTGTTTCCCTGCTGGGGAGCATGCTGTTGAAGTTGAAATCGAAAGAGAGCACATGTAAATTTTCTTAGTAGTAGCAATTTCTAGATAAGGAAATTGAGATGTATCCCACATTACCAATTTCAAACGTTGATGGCTAACACCAAATGGTTTCTAGAAGATTTAGATCAACACAATCACTGAAAAGGCATTGTCTGAGATGCCCTCCATGCAGGGTGGGGTTCCACATTCCCTTCTGAAAAATAACTCAATACACTGAGTACACTTGAGTCCTTTTCTCCTATTCCTCCTTCCAGCCCATCTTGACAGTAACTCAGATTTGAGATGTTTTCCTTGCTTTTGTGTTTGCCATCCAGTTTTTATTTCAAGTCTATTAAATCTTAAATTTCCTTCCAAGGAAATCAATGTAAAACTGGCATTGCTAAAATTTCTGTTTTTAGGAACAGCAGCAATGTGCCTTTCCTATATAGGATGGCCTTTTTCCCACCTATGAAACAATTCCTAACATTGTTCCTAACATTTCTGCTTTGGAATAACTAGATATGTGTACAAAGAAAATTTGTTTTTTGGATATGCCTTCGCCTTCAATACCTCCTTTATCTTTAAAAAGGACCTCTCTCCCAAGTTGTAGAATGTCCCCAATGACATTTTAAGTATCCATACTTTTAAAACTCAACATGTCATCTCTCTCCTCCCACAGCTAGATTTCCTCCTTCACAAAACCAGCCACTGTGTTAACTTTCCTCTAACACAAAAGCCCATACCCTAAATATCTTAGGTGCTTAAGTGGCTGTCACACCATTCTGTATATGGCAAACTGTCCTCTGGCTACTCCAAGAATGTGATTATATAAGTGCATCCCCAAAGCACATCATTTCCCTATTTTCAGATTACAACTAATTGCTGGCAAAATCCCAGGATTCAACACTTTTCACTTATGGAAAACCAGTGCTTGGTGAGGAAAGAAGCATTAGGTGTACAAGAATGGCTTTCTTTTTTAAATAAGATATGGTAAAAATCTGGCAGTTTAATTCCTCACCCCCTTGCAGATTTAATAAGAAGCCCTTTACAAATATCACAATAACGCAACTTCGAAAAGGAAAAAAAAAACCCAAAAAACAAAAAATCCAGGAAACCTATTTGAAGCCATTTCTTTAGGTAAAGTACAAAGATGCATTTCTAACTCCAAACCATCTTAGTAATCCAACAAATCTGTCGAATTTCTCTCCCGACTTGGTCAAGACAAACGTATCCCATTCCAGCAATCCATCTGCTAATACTGCTGTCCAATACCCCTTCTATAAATAGCTCGGTCTGGGTCTACATCGGCAGGCATTTTGTAATTTAAAAATTCGTTACCACGAAAAACGTCCTGATTAACTCGGCAACTGGGAGCCCATCTACTCTTTAGTTAACTCCGCAGACCCCTCTCCCCTCGGTCATCCAAGCATTTTCCACTTAAGATAAAAAAGCCCCCCCTTCCCTCGACAAGAAAGAAGAGGGGGGGAAAAATAAACGGTTCGGTCGGGGGGGGGCGCTGCGATCCAGGGGGAGGGGCCGGACTAGTAGCGCCTCCTCGTGTGGCTGCGCCAGCGCCTGACCCCCGCGGGGAGCCGCGCTCACCCGCCCGGCCAGCAAGCCGGCCATCGCCTTCCCCCACCCCCCACAACCAACAAATCCACCGCCGCCCCCCCCTACCGCGCGCGCGCCCTCCCTGACTCCTGCGCAGCCGCCACCGGGAAAAGGCGGGGGGAGGGGGTAGGCCTTGCGCGAGGCCTACTAGGCCGCGCCAGAGCCAGGGCCTCGCGTGAATGACCGGCCAGGCACAGTGAGGTGGTAGGCGCTCACGCGGGACTACGCAAGACCGGGGCTCGTGACCAGGACCCGAGCCCGCTAAGAAGGCAGGAGTGGAAATTGTAACCATAGCCGGGGACGCAGGGGAAATTTTTAGGCTTACCTGCAGGCGCGAGGCGACTGAGGGGAAAAGGGGAGCGGGCGGGAAGGGGAAGGGCGGGAGGCCGGGGGCGGAACAATAGGGGCGGGCGGGAAGGCGAGGGGGGCCCCGCGGGCGGGCGGAGGAGGAAGGGGGGGGTGGAGGAGGAGGAAGGGGGAAAGAGACCCCGGGGCGGGTGGAGGGCGGCGGAGGGCGGGCGGGCGGGCGGGCGGAGGGCGGGCGGGCGGGAGAGGGCGCAGGCTGCGGCTGCTCCGGCTGCTGCCTCTGCTGGTCTGGGAGGGGGACGGGGCGGAGCGGCCTGCTTTCAACCCCGCGCACCCTTCGACCCCGGAAGCGCTAACCGCCCCGGGGCCGGCGAGGCGATTGCGTCGTCCAAAGCTTCCCCACGCAATGCAGACGGCCTCCCGAAAGCCTAGAGCGGCTCCTTGGATAGCGTCAGCACCAGCGAGACAATGGCTGCTAGCAAACGGCGAACTGCTATAGAGAGGGAGCGTCGGGGGGGCTGGAAGGAAACCAGTGGCCCCTAGCGGACTGGCTGGAAAGTTCAGGCGTTAGTGGGGAGAGGGAGCAGTCGCCATGGATCAAGAAGTGGAGAAGAGGAAAAAGGGATGGGTGGAAAGAGGATGAGAAAGGATGAAGAAATCCCAGTAATCTACAAGGATACTCAAAAAAGAAAGGGAAAAATACTTGTCACGTTAAAGGTGACCATTACATCAATTCCTTAGTCTTAAAAAGAAAGATACAGGGCCGGGCACGGTGGCTCAAGCCTGTAATCCCAGCACTTTGGTAGGACGAGGCGGGTGGATCAAGAGGTCAAGAGATCGAGACCATCCTGGTCAACATGGTGAAACCCCGTCTCTACTAAAAATACAAAAAACATTAGCTGGGCATGGTGGTGCGTGCCTGTAATCCCAGCTACTCAGGAGGCTGAGGCAGGAGAATTGCCTGAACCCAGGAGGCGGAGGTTGCGGTGAGCCGAGATCGTGCCATTGCACTCCAGCCTGGGTAACAAGAGCGAAACTCCGTCTCAAAAAAAAAAAAAAAAAAAGATACATTTAACTTTCCTTTTAGGAAGAACTGTAGTTCATCTGTAATCCATAAGGGAAAGCTCTTTTTAAAAGAATTCCATGTAATAAATGTAGCCGGGCGCAGTGGCTCATGCTTGTAATCCCAGCAGTAGTTTGGGAGGCTGAGGCGGGTGGATCTCCTGAGGTCCAGGAGTTGGAGACCAGCCTGGCCAACATAGTGAAATCCCTTCTCTACTAAAAAATACAAAAAATTAGCTGGACGTGGTGGCAGGCACCAGCTACTCCGGAGGCTGAGGCAGGAGAATCGCTTGAACCCAGGAGGCAGAGGTTGCAGTGTGCTGAGATCGCGCCATTGCACTCCAGTCTGGGCAACAAGAGGAAACTCCACCTCAAAATAAAAAGTAGAAGTAATGAAAGAAATAGAAGGAATTAGAGTTGAAAAGTTACCATTGTGCAACCCAGAATGAAATAACTGATTCAGGCAAGTTTATCAATCATTAAAATTTTGAGAAGGGTTGTTAGGGAACAGGATATTATCACGACACCAAATACCACCACACAGATTTGCAAATAACATCTTTTTTTCTTTCTTTTTTTAAGTAACTTCAAATGGGCTGTGGGTGCTGGCTCACCTCTGTAATCCCAACACTTTGGGAGGCTGAGACAGGCAGATCGCTTGAGCTCAGGAGTTCCAGACCAGCCAACATAGTGACATCCCATCTCTACTAAAAAATACAAAAATTAACTGGTGTGGTGGCACATGCCTGTGGTCCTAGCTATTCAGGAGGCTGAGGTGAAAGGATCACTTAAGTCCTGGTGGTCAACGCTGCAGTAAGCCATAATGACAGCCACTGCACTGCAGCCTGTCTCAAAAACAACAAATTTGTATACATATATAAGTTTTTTATTTGTTTATTTATTTATTTATTTATTTATTTTTTTTTTTTTTTGAGACGGAGTTTCGCTCTTGTTACCCGGGTTGGAGTGCAATGGCGCGATCTCGGCTCACCGCAACCTCCGCCTCCTGGGTTCAGGCAATTCTCCTGCCTCAGCCTCCTGAGTAACTGGGATTACAGGCACGCACCACCATGCCCAGCTGATTTTTTGTATTTTTTTTTTAGTAGAGACGGGGTTTCACCATGTTGACCAGGACGGTCTCGATCTCTTGACCTCGTGATCCACCCGCCTCGGCCTCCCAAAGTGCTGGGATTACAGGCTTGAGCCACCGCGCCCGGCCTGTTTGTTTATTTTTAAATAAAGACGGGGTTTCACCATGTTAGTCAGGCTGGTCTTGAACTCCCGACCTCAGGTGATCCGCCCGCCTTGGCCTCCAAAGTGCTTGGATTACAGGCATGAGCCACCACTCCTGGCCAAAAACAACAAATTTTTTAAAAAACAACTTCAAATGGAGAGATCTAGCAGTTACCACCTTACCCAAGTAAATAAGTGATCAAACTATATCACTCATAGTAGGACATCTTTCACACTGAATGTTCCTTGGAAAGATGCAACAAGAAGTACACCACATCATCTATTAAATATTCTTGCCAAAAGTGCTTAATCTTTAATCAAGCCATTATATCTGATTTGCAATTTATGGGAAAGTTAAACAGGATGCAGGAACAAGTTCAATACCAATACAACACAGGGAGATATTTTGCAAATCCAGAATGTAAGACATTCCACAAGACAACTAGCCGGTCTTGTCAAAAAAGCAATGGAATATAAAAAAAGAATTAGTTGAACATGGCAGTGTGCATCTGTAGTCCCAGCTACTCAAGAGGCTAAGGCGAGAGGATCACTTGAGCCCAGGAATTCAAGGCTGCAGTGAGTTATGATGTCACCACTGCACTCCAGCCTGGGCGACAGAGCAAGACCCCATCTCTTAATAAATAAACAGGCTGGGTGCAGTGGCTCACACCTGTAATCTCAGCACTTTGGGAGGCTGAAGTGGGCAGATCATGAGGTCAGGAGATCAAGACCATCCTGGCCAACATAGTGAAACCCCGTCTCTACTAAAATACAAAGAATTGACCGGGCATGGTGGTGCGCACCTGTAGTCCCAGCCTCTCGGGAGGCCGAAGCAGGGGAATCAATTGAAACTGGGAGGTGGAGATTGCAGTAAGCCCAGATCACGCCACTGCACTCCAGCCTGGGTTACTGAGACTCTGTCTAAAATAAATAATGAATGAATGAATGGAAAGAAAAGAGCAGGAATTTAGAAATGTTTAAGGCCATAACAACCAAATATAATGAATGCCTCTTGCTTGGATCCTGGGGTTTTTTTATTGTTGTTGTTTTTGGTTGTTGTTGTTGTTGTTGTTTTTGACACATGGTCTTGCTCGGTTGCCCAGGCCAGAGTGCAGTGGTGCTGTGCTCACTATAACCTCCACCTTCCAAGTTCAAGCAATTCTCCTGCCTCAGCCTCCCAAGAAGCTGGGATTACAGGCGCCTGCCACCACGCCCAGCCAATTGTAGTTTTAGTAGAGATGGGGTGTCACCATGTTGGCCAGCCTGGTCTCAAACTCCTGACCTCGTGATCCACCCACCTTGGCCTCCCAAAGTGCTGGGATTACAGGCTTGAGCCACCGCACCCGGCCAGTATTTTTAATTTTCTTAAGTGTGATAATGGAACCATGATACTGTAAGGAAATGGTTTTTTGTTTTTGTTTTTTTCTGTTTTTGTTTTAAGATGAGGTTTCACCATGATGGCCAGGCTGGTCTTGAACTCCTGACCTCAGGTGATCCACCCACCTCAGCCTCCCAAAGTGCTAGGATTACAGGCATTAGCCACTGCGCCTGGCCTGTTTTTTTTTTTTTTTTTTAAGACAGGGTTTCACCATGTTGGCCAGGCTGGTCTTGATCTCCTAACCTCAGGCGATCTACCCGCCTTGGCCTCCCAAAGCGCTGAGATTACAAGTGTGAGCCACCACACCTGGCGAAAATGGTTTTCCATATGTACATGATGAAATATTTAAGGGTGACGCGCAGTGGCTCACACCTGTAATCCCAGTGCTTTGGGAGGCTGAGGAAGGCAGATTACGAGCTTAGGAGTTCCAGACCGGCCTGACCAACATGGTGAAACTCTGTCTCTAATAAAAATACAAAAATTAGCCGGGTGTGGTGGCACTCACTCATAATCCCAGCTACTCAGGAGGCTGAGGCAGGAGAATCGCTTGAACCTGGGAGGTGGAGTTTCCAGTGAGCTGAGATCATGCCACTGCACTCCAGCCTGGGCAACAGAGCGAAACACCGTCTCAAAAAAATAAGGAAATATTTAAGGGTGAGGGTCATGATGTATGCACCAGACTTTCATATGGTTCACACAGGTATATTAATAAAGCAAATAGAACAAAATATTAACAATATCATAAGTGTACATAGTAAGAGTATGGATGATCATTGTACCATTACTTAAACTTAATTTTTATAATAAAAATGGGAAAAAATATGATGGAATAAATGGAAAAAGTTTTCCAAAATGTAGATAATTACTAAAGCTAGATGAGAGTATAGGAATTAATTAAGCTATTTTCTTGGCCAGGTGCAGTGGCTCACGCCTGTAATCCCAGCACTTTGGAAGGCGGAGGCGAGTGGATCACCTGAGACCAGTCTGGCCAACATGGTGAAACCCTGTCTCTACTAAAATTACAAAAATTAGCCAGGCGTAGTGATGGGCACTTATAATCCCAGCTATTCCAGAGGCTGAGGCAGGAGAATCACTTGAACCCGGGAGACAGAGCTTGCGGTGAGCTGAGATCATACCATTGCACTCCAGCCTGAGCAACAAGAGCAAAACTCTGTTCCAAAAAATAATAAATAATGATTTTCTCTACCGTTGTGTATATCTGTACATTTCCACATTAAAACACTAAAAAAAAAAAAAAAAAAAAAAAAAAAGAGAGAGAGTGGGGTCTGAGCACAGTGGCTCATACCTGTAATCCCAGCACTTTGGAAGGCCAAGACAGGTAGATTGCTTGTGTCTAGGAGTTTGAGACCAGCCTAGACAACATGGCAAAAGCCAATCTCTACAAAAAAAAATACAAAAGTTAGCCAGGTATGGTAGTACACACCTGTAGTCTCAGCTGCTAGGCATGCTGAGGTGGAAGGATCGCTTGAGCCCGAGAGGTCAAGACTGCAGTGAGTTGTGAGTGTCCTACTATACTCCAACCCCCAGAGCAAGACTTTGTCTAAAAAAAAAAACAAAAACCAACCAACCAACCAAAGGGATGGCTAGGCATGGTGGTACATGCCTGTAATCTCAGTACTTTCAGAGGCAGAGCAAGGTAGGAGGATCACTTGAAGCCAGGAGTTCGAGACTAGCCTAGGCAACATAGTGAGACCCTGACCCTACAAAAAAAAAAAAAAAATTAGTCACGTGTGGTGGTATGCACCCACAGTACTAACTACTTGGGAGGCTGAGGTGGGAGGAGAACATGAACCAGGAAGATCAAGGCTGCAGTAAGCCTTGAGCATGCCACTGTACTCTAGTCCCTTGAGTCTCAGTCAAGTTTTATTGGACAGCCCCAAATTGATGGAATCATCTAAAGAGATATAGCTTCCTTAAGTGGAAAATTAGGCTTGAGGACTAAAATGCCTTTCCTCCCATCCCCCAAATTGTATTAGGAACAATGTGAAATAGAAGGAAAGCGCCATGCATGGTGGCTTCACTCCTGTAATCCCAACATTTTGGGAGGCCGAGGCAGGTGGATCACCTGAGATCAGGAGTTCTAGACCAGCTTGGTCAACATGGTGAAACCCTATCTCTACTAAAAATACAAAAATTAGCTGGGTGCGGTGGCACACGCCTGTAGTCCCAGCTACAGTGCCTGTAGATCTCAGCTACAGGCTAAGGCAGGAGAATCAGGAGGCTGACGCAGGAAAATCACTTGAACCCAGGAGGTGGAGGCTGCAATGAGCTGAACTTGTGCCACTGCACTCCAGCCTCGGTGACAGAGAGAAACTCAAAAAAAAGAAAGAAAAAGATGGCCAGGCAAGGTGGCTCATGCCTGTTAATCCTAGCGCTTTGGGAGGCCAAGGCAGGAAGTCTGCTTCAGGCCAAAAGTTGTAGAGACCAGCAGGAATCTCATCTCCACAAAAACATTTTTTTTCCTTTTTTTTTTTTAATTGCATTTTAGGTTTTGGGGTACATGTGAGGAACATGTAAGATTGTTGCATAGGTACACACATGGCAATGTGATTTGCTGCCTTCCTCCCCTTCACCTATATCTGGCATTTCTCCCCATGCTATCTCTCCCCAACTCCCCACCCCACACTGTCCCTCCCCTATTTCCCCCCAATAGACCCCAGTGTGTGATGCTTCCCTCCCTGTGTCCATGTGTTCTCATTGTTCAACACCCACCTATGAGTGAGAACATGCAGTGTTTGATTTTCCGTTCTTGTGTCAGTTTGCTGAGAATGATGGTTTCCAGGTTCCTCCATGTCCCTACAAAGGACACGAACTCATCGTTTTTAAAAACATTTTTAAGGCTGGGCGTAGGGGCTCACGCCTATAATCCAAGCATTTTGGAGGCCAAGGCGGGCAGATCACCTGAGGCTGGGATTTCAAGACCAGCCTGACCAACATGGTGAAACCCCGTCTTAAAAAAAAAAAGAAAGAAAAAAAGAAAAACATTTTTAAATATGAGCCAGCGCCACCTCTAGCAAATCAGGAGGCTGAGGTGAGAACACAGCTTGAGCAGGCCACTGCACTCTGACGTAGGCAACAGAGAATGAGACCCTGTTTCTCTTTTTTTTTTTTTTTTTGAGAGGGGGTGTTTCACTCTTGTTACCCAGGCTGGAGTGCAATGGCGCGATCTCGGCTGACCGCAACCTCCACCTCCTGGGTTCAGGCAATTCTCCTGAGTAGCTGGGATTACAGGCACGCGCCACCATGCCCAGCTAATGTTTTTTGTATTTTTAGTAGAGACGGGGTTTCACCATGTTGACCAGGATGGTCTCGATCCCTTGACCTCGTGATCCACCCGCCTCGGCCTCCCAAAGTGCTGGGATTACAGGCTTGAGCCACAGTGCCCGGCAAGACCCTGTTTCTGAAAAAATAAGGAAAAAGAAGTCTGTCATCTGGTAAGGGGCAGACCAAGTAATTAAAAGGGAGGAAATGAAGCAGAAAAGTGTTAGGATACCCAGAAAAAAGCAAACTAATCAGTGTACTTACCGTGAAGCCATGGCTGAAGGTCACTTTAACCTTAAGATTTCGCAGCTGGGACATTTATACCTCTGAGAGCTGGGGTGAAAGTGAGTGTCTATCCATAAAATTATCTCTAATGCCGGGGGCGGCGGGGGGGGGCGCAAAACAAATAGCAAATGTCTGTATTGGAGCTGGCCAACGGCTGCAGCCAACTTTGAAAGAAAAAGATGAGATGTATATAATAGCAATATTTGATAATTTTATGAATCAATTTATTGATTATTTGGTTCTCCAGAAGGGGAACCAAACTAAGTCAAGAGAGTGAATCTGCCTAGGGCCACAAAGCAATCTGATACAGGGAGTTGAGTCCAAGAGGCAGCAAACTAGATGAAGATTCATCCCATTAACTCACAGTTCCTAAACTAAAATGTCAACTTGTATTTTAGATCCCATGGATTTCCTATGTTTCCCGTTCTCATTTGAATGGAAATCTTGCTAGTTCCTAATAAAAAGAGAATAGCCTGTAATCCCAGCACTTGGGGAAAATGAGGTGAGAGGATCATTTGAGCCCAGGAGTTCAAAAGCAGCCTGAGCAATACAGTGAGACCTTATCTCTACAAAACAATGGCCGGTCACAGTGACTCACGCGGGTAATCCCAGCACTTTGGGAGGCCAAGGTGGGCAGATCACCTGAGGTCAAGAGTTCGAGACCAGCCTGGCCAACATGGCAAAATGTTGTCTCTACTAAAAATACAAAAATTAGCCAGGCGTGGTGGCATACACCTGTAATCCCAGCTACTTAGGAGGCTGAGGCAGGAGAATCACTTGAACCCCTAAGGCGGAGGTTTCAGTGAGCCGAGATCACATCACTGCACTCCAGACTGGGGGATAGAGCGAGACTCTGCCTCAAAAAAACAAAAAACAAAACAAAACAAAAAACTAGCTGGGCATAGTGGGACAAGCCTGTGGTCCTAGTTACCCGGGAGGCTGAAGCGGGAGAATCATGTGAGTCTGGCAGGTTAAGGGTGCAGTGAGCGGAAATCACACCACTATACTACAGCCTGGGTGACAGAGTAAGACCGTGTATCAAAATAAGAAAAAAAAAAAAAAAAAAAAAAAAAAAAAGAGAGAGAGAGAATGGCAGAATCCCAGAGGTTCTTGTATGAGATGCTGAAGGCATAGACAAAAACGTTTGTGAACCACCGTCTTTGTAGATTTATACTGATGGACAAAGCAGGAACACAATGCGCTGCTCTCAAGAGCCAAGCAGTAATAGAATCTGCCCGACAGCAGGGAGTTGAAAGGACTATAGGAAGACCCATCTACATGTAATGATTACTACTCAGAGTCAGAAATTTCTGCCTTCAGGAATGTGGGCCCACTTTTGCTAGACTTGCCAGTTTAAAACCTGAAACTTTACTGAAAAACATAGAGAGGGATTCCTCCAAAAAAAGTCTCAGACCCAGGTATAACATGGGCTTCTAATTTTTCAACCTCTGACAAAGATGTATGAACCAAAATGTTCATAACAGTAGTAAAGTATATAACAAAACTGGAAACAAATCTAAAATTATAGTAATAAAAGATTGAGGTGAGGCTGGGCACGGCGGCTCACACTTATAATCCCAGCACTTTGGGAGTCTGAGGTGGGTGGATCACCTGAGGTCAGGAGTTCGAGACCAGCCTGACCAACATAGAGGAACCCCATCTCTACTAAAAATACAAAATTAGCTGGGTATGGTGGCACACACCTGTAGTCCCAGCTACTCGGAGGCTGAGGCAGGAGAATCACTTGAACCCAGGAGGCAGAGATTGCAGTGAGCTGAGATTGTGCCATTGCACTCCAGCCTGGACAACAAGAGCGAAACTCCATCTCAAAAAAAAAAAAAAAAAAGATTGGTTGAGTGAATTGGAATGCTGGGGCCAGGCTTGTAATCCCAACACTTTGGGAGGCTGAGGCAGGCGGATCACTTGAGGCTATAGTACAGTGTCACAATCTCGGCTCACTGTAGCCTCAGCCTCCCAAGTTCAAGCAAATTCTCCTGCCTCAGCCTCCCAAGTAGCTGGGATTACAGGCTGAAGCCACCACACCCAGCTAGTTTTTAAATTTTTTTGAAGAGACATGTCTTGCTATATTGCCCAGGCTGGTCTTGAACTCCTAGGCTCAATAAATCCTCTTGCCTTAGCCTTCCAAAGTGCTGGGATTACAAGTATGAGCCACTGCGCCTGGCTGCCATCTATTTCTCTTCACCTCATGATCTGTCCCATGCCCACCATCTCCCCCTCCTTTCCAAAAAGGAAGAGCTGATAAAGGAAAACAGAGTGACTGGGGGGAAAAAGTTCAAATGGCCTCCAAATCCAAGACACTGGAAAAGTGGGTCTTGGCATTTCTTTTTTCTTTTTTTGAGATGGAGTCTGGCTCTATTGCCCAGGCTGGAGTGCAATGGCGCGATCTTGGCTCACAACCTCCACCTCCCAGATTCAAGTGATTCTCCTGCCTCAGCTTCCCGAGTAGCTGAGATTACTGGCATGCACCACCACGCCTGGCTAATGTTTGCATTTTTAGTGGAGACGGGGTTTCGCTGTGTTGGCCAGACTGGTCTTGAACTCCTGATCTCAGGTGATCCACCTGCCTTGGCCTCCCAAAGTGCTGGGATTACAGGCATGAGCCACTGTACCCAGCCATGGATTTTCTAATAAAATTAGAAGCTAGCTGTAAAATATAGGAAGACCTCAAGCATTTCTTTCATAGATCTCTTTCCAGGGAAAGTTAAGGATGCAGTGTAGCCAACTCAAAACACTCCTTCCCTGTTCCTCCTCAAGCCCTACACTCAATGCCCAAATCCATGGGTTCCAACTCAGAAACATCTTTTAAGTCCACTCCTTCCTCTAGCCCCATGTCCCCAGCTGCAACCTCATTTCCTACTTTCAGGAATACAGGTTCAGAAGCTCCTAACTTTCATCGTCCACTTTTTTTTTCTTTTTGAGATGGAGTCTTACTCTTGTTGCCCAGGCTGGAGTGCAATGGCACAATCTTGGTTCACCACAACCTCCACCTCCCAGGTTCAAGTGATTCTCCTGCTTCAGCCTCCCAAGTATGCTGGGATTACAGGCATGTGCCACCATACCTGGCTAATTTGTGTATTTTTAGTAGAGACGGGGTTTCTCCATGTTGGTAGGGTTGGTCTCAAACTCCCAACTTTGGGTGATCCGCCCACTTCAGCTTCTCAAAGTGCTGGGATTACAGGCGTGAGCCACTGCCCTGGCCTCATCATACACTTTTTACAACTTGGTGCCTTTGTAAAACTGCTGCTTCTGTCTGGAATCCGTTGGGTTAAGAGCACAGATTCAGGAGCCAGGCTATCTGAGCTCTAATTGTGACTGAGCCATTTACTACTGTGTGACCTTGGGCAAGTTATTTAACCTCTTAATACTTCAATTTTCCTTATCTACGAGGTAGAAATGGCCGGGCGCACTGCCTCACGCCTGTAATCCCAGCACTTTGTGAGGCAAGGCAGATGGATCATGAGGTCAGGAGATCGAGAGCATCCTGGCTAACATGATGAAACCCTGTCTCTACTTAAAATACAAAACATTAGCCGGGCATGATGGCATGTGCCTATAGTCCCAGCTACTCTGGAGGCTGAGGCAGGAGAATCGCTTGAACCTGGGAGGTGATTTCAGTGGGCCAAGATCGTGCCACTGTACTCCAGACTGGGTGACAGAACGAGACTCCCTCTCAAATAAACAAACAAAAAAGAAATAACATTGCCCACTTCACAGAGTTGCTGTGAAGATTACAGTTATGAATGTAAAGTGCTCAGTGCCTACACATGACAAATGCTCAGTGTTAGCTGATATTATTTACCACATGGGAAAACTCCTCATCCTAAGTCCCAGCCCACGCCTAGCTCCTTTTCCCAGTGAGACTGCCACTCCCCCATTGCTTGATCTATATCTCTCCTGTAGTCCTTTTGACCATATTTTTAATCCTTTTTACTGTATTCACATTTGTCTGCTTCATTAGATCTTGCAGGTCATGGAGGGTAGGAGCTGCCTTATTTATCTTTGCGGCTTTTGCACCTAGAAAACAGCATTTTTCTCAATAAACAATTTTCCAGAAAATCAATCTAGCCCCACTGGGATACCCGTGATTCCCAAACATGCTGTGCAGCTTCATGACTTTGAAAGTAAGTACATGGCTATCCCAGCTCTTCACCATCCACTTGGGAAATCCATTCTTTTTTTTTTTTTTTTTTAAAGATGGGGTTTCACCATGATGGCCAGGCTGGTTTTGAACTCCTGACCTCAGGTAATCCACCCACCTCAGCCTCCCAAAGTATTAGGATTACAGGCGCGAGCCACCGCACCTGGCTGGGAAATCCATTCTTCTATTTTTTTCTACCCATACTTTTCACACTGAAGGCCAAGAGGTAGTTCAAATGTCACTTCTTCTGTGAAGTCATCTTTTACTCCTCCCTCCTCTCCCAATGAGAATTCTTTCTCCCATTGACTTTTTATTGAGACAGAGTCTTACTCCGTCACCCAGGCTGGAGTGTAGTGGTGCAATCTTGGCTCACTGCAACTTCTACCTCCTAGGTTCAAGTGATTCTCCTGCCTCAGCCTCCCAAATAGCTGGGATTACAGGCACCCGCTGCCACACCCAGCTAATTTTTATATTTTTAGTAGAGACAGGGTTTGACTATATTGGCCAGGCTGGTCTCAAACTCCTGACCTCAAGTGGTCCACCGGCCTCAGCCTCCCAAAATGCTGGGATTACAAGCATGCACCACCATGCCCGGCCTCCCCCTGACATTTTATAGGGCCTATCTTTATTAATTAGTTCTCTTAGATGTCTTTTTCCTCCACCCAACAGATCTTGGAGAACTCTATGTATAGCACAGTGCATGGTATATGGTAAATCAGTGGCCCTCCAAGTTTAGCTGTGGATCAGAATTACTCAGTTTCTTAAATATACTGATTTGTAGAGACACATTGAAAGTCTTAGCAGGGTGCGGTCGCTCAAGCCTGTAATCCCAGCACTTTGGGAGACCAAGGCAGGTGGATCACCTGAGGTCAGGAGTTCAAGACCAGCCTGACTGACCAACATGGTGAAACCCTATCTCTACTAAAAATACAAAATTAACTGGGTGTGGTGGCAGGTGCCTGTAGTCCCAGCTACTTGGGAAGCCGGGGCAGGAGAATCGCTTGAACCCAAGAGGCAGAGGTTATAGTGAGCTGAGATTGCGCCATTGCACTCCAGCCTGGGCAACAAGAGCAAAACTCCATCTCAAAATAAATAAATACATAAATAAAAGTCTTAGGAAAATTTTTTTAAAAATAAAAAATAGGCCGGGCATGGTGGCTCACGCCTGTAATCCCAGCACTTTGGGAGGCCGAGGCGGGTGGATCACGAGGTCAAGAGATCGAGACCATCCTGGTCAACATGGTGAAACCCCGTCTCTACTAAAAATACAAAAAATTAGCTGGGCATGGTGGCGCGTGCCTGTAATCCCAGCTACTCAGGAGGCTGAGGCAGGAGAATTGACTGAACCTAGGAGGCGGAGGTTGCGGTGAGCCGAGATCGCGCCATTGCACTCCAGCCTGGGTAACATGAGTGAAACTCTGTCTCAAAAAAAATAAATAAATAAATAAATAAAATAAAATAAAATAAAAATAAATACTAAGCCCCAAATTCCTGTCTCATAGCTGATAGGCAGCCAAGGTTAAGAACCTCTGTAGCATATATGAA